GGCCTGAGTTCAATCCCCGGTTCCGCCAAAAAAAACCCACAAAAGTTCATGATTATTTCATCTTTTGACAGACCAAAATATGAAATCTTTTTAAAATTGTGTTTCATTTAAGATTCTTTAAAAGAAAAAAAGTTTGACATGTACTATTGTAAGTTCTGGCAATCTAGAAAATTTACTATTAAATCTTCCATGACATACCCCATAAAAGCTTTTCAGGGTATACTTAGAGAGCTGCTTTAGAAAAAAAGGCCAGGTTGAACTCAGAAATCTACAGAACATAAAACTCAGGCAAATTAATATATATTTGATAACCTGATGTTGCATATCTTGGCTGGTTAATCAGATGACAGTAATGACAATAAAATACACTTCCTCCGAATCCAAATTAAGAGTTTTCCAACTTCAAAATGCTCTGAAACACTTATACCAGTTTCCTTAGACAGAACATAAGAAAAAAAGAAAGGGGGCACACTGGGAACCTCAAGGTGCAGCACAAACTGGCCCAGCACACACTGAGGTGCAGCTCAGTGAACTGCTCTTGCCTCACCTAGTTCAGCAATGAGACAAATCGCTGTTAGAGAAATGGAGCTCTAGCGTGACACCGACGACTGACAGCAACTACGGACAAGGTCCTGCCAGTAACACAAAAGCAGCTGGTGTACGTGATGCTGTGGGTCGCCAGCATTTCCAGAGGGAGCACTCACCATGGTAATCCCCTTGGCCAGGCGGATTGGTTAGAATAATCTTCATGCAGCTATACGGTGTATAGTCTGTCCTCTTGCCTTCCTTGCCAAAGCTGTGGCGGATATTGTAAGAGTAACCTTTATCAAACTGATGGAGGGACAGACGAAAAAAAAGACAAAAAGAAGAAATAAAGTCAGTTAACACTTTGCTAGCGATGTCAGCAACACTGATGAGTGGGCAGAGCACTGTTTTCTACAATAAATTCAGTGCTCACAGGCAGATCCACACCACATACACCACCTGGGTCCTTTATGATACAAACAACTTGCTTTTTAAAAAAATGAACAGAACTTGTAGGAAACAAGTTTCTCACGTAGAAGCCAATTAGTGTGATTTACAGTAGTTCCTCAGTATCACTGGTGAACTGGTTTCATGACCCCCAGCAGGTACCAAAATCTCTAAATGTTCATTTTTTTACATAAAAGGGTATGATATTTGCATATAATCTGTCATCACCACCACCAGATACTTTAAATTATTCCAAGGTTACTTGTAGTAGTCAGTACACTATAACTATAATTATGTAGTTGTTATACTGCAACGTTTAAGAATAATGACAAGGAAAAAAGTCTGCGCAGGTTCAGTA